TGAGCAGCTTTAATTGTTAAAAATGAAAAATAAAGATCCGTCACAATCAAATAACTTCCTTAAAAAAGGAAACCAAATGTTTTTAATATAAATATAACACAGAGGGAAACATTTGAAGTGTTTATGTTTTGATCAGGTTTGCAAAATACCTAGATCATTAACTCTATATCGACACCCAGGAAAATATTTGATACTCGATACCTTTGGGATAAAAATACCAAATAAATCCATAAAAATATGTTCACACAAAAAACTGGAACTTTCTTTGTCAACATAATAGCAGGTTCTATGAGTTAAATAAGTGTGCAAATAAATGCTAAATAAACCAAATATAACAATTTGACAATATTTTAAGGTTGTTAGAAGTGATATTCTTTCAGTCCAAAAATTATCTTGAAATCAAAATTTATCTAATGCAAAAATTGCAAACAAAACTTTTAATAAGTATCTTTATAATCCTAAACTAGTGTTGTATCTGGATGCAGCAGTTTTGCATTGATACTTTAGATAACCCTAGTTTTGATTTTTTATTATTGGTCTTATGCAGAAACAGAAAAGATGAGCAGGGAAACTGATTATGGACGGTCTTAAGGGTACAACATGTCATGACATTGGCATAGTTTTGCATAGGGACCATAGGGACATGTCCCTACCAAAATTTTGGACCGACCTACTTGTCCCTACCGATAATTCTATGTGAATAACATGTCTATAATTTCCAATACAGCATTGATGCAACAGTTGCTTCTTTTCCTCTTGCAGCTTCGCTGCCTGGTAACTGCTGCTGCCGCTGTTATGCACCAGGCAGGCACTCAGATGGAGCAGTCTTATATCGGCTCTTTCCTGTCCCTTAGAGTCAGCAATTGTGCAGTGGCGGCTCCAGAAATGTTTCATAGGGGTGGCCAGATGGGGCCACTAAAAATCTTGGGATGGCACACTGAAACTAAAAGCCCTAATTTAAGGGTTTGAATCTACTATTGTGGTAAAGCTGCCTGTAGAGATCAGAAAGACTTAGGTAAACACCTACCGGTACTCATGGTTTGGTGTATTGTGTGATTTTTAATGTTATGTCGCCGGCTGTACATAGTGGGGTGAAATGCTAAAATGAAGGTACTACAATTTACACTGGCAAGTAGGGTGGCCAGGGCAATGCACAGGGTGGCCAGGGCATTGCACAGGGTGGCCATGGCCACCCCCTGGTGCTGTGGTGTTAAACTTCACTCTCATTGGTTGTTCTGCTTTAAGTTCCACCTTCTCTCGTCCTGACTGGCTGTTTTCTGGTCTGTAGTTTGGCATGCTTGGATTGCGAAATAAAAATGTTATTCATGCTAGAATACCACGGTTACTACAATTAATATTAGGCTACGAAACAAGTCCCAATAAAAAAAATAGATATAAATCATCTACGCTAAAACAGGTGAAAGCTGCTGATCGCAGTTCTGTTAAGAGGCAGGAGAGTGCTTTGATTTGTGGAACCAACATTAGCATCTGAAAATCTTATTTAAATCTGAAGTATCAACAAAACCCTTTTTTCTTCTTTTATAAAAGTAAATATTCTGAGTCAGGCAGGAGTTCTGAAAACTGCTGAAAAAAATGGACAACCAAACACTGTAAGCCATCAAAAATTCTGATTTTTAACCACAGCCGACTGAAAAAGAAAACGCAAGGGTTTCCCTTTGTTACCGTTTTCATTATTGAGGCAGTTCAGGTATAAATAGCAGGTGTTTCTATTTCTTTTATAGAGTATAACAGCACGAGATGGCACCTAAACATCTGCTACTTTATGTCTAGAAAGCATAATCAGGGTGATATTTAATTAACTATTTCTACTTCTAGAAATAGCTTAAAGACAAACAGAGGAACACTATTTACAGTAATTTTATTTTACATAGATTTCCACACAGTCCATAAATAAATTAGTACAAACAGCAGTGTCTGGAAAACATGCTTGAATCTGGCTTTTTATTTAGGATATAATGAAATTACAGATAAGATAGTGTTATATTTTCTTTTATAATTTTCAAGTGATTTTAACAGTAAGCAATATAGGATTATATAAAAGCTTGTGCTACATTTAATCCTTTAATAGTAAAAACACACTTGTATAATAGTAACATTACATGATTATGGGAAACATATCCAGTGATAATGATGCAGGGCAGCTATATATATATATATATATATATATTAGTGCTGTCAATCGATTAAATTTTTTAATCGCGATTAATCGCATCAATGCCTGAGTTAACTCGCGATTAATCGCATTTTAATCGCACATTTTTTTCCTGATTGAAAATCATTTAAATACTCTCGATGACATACAAAAAAATACATACAGGCTAGGTTTGTGCCAATGTTCTTTTTTTAAAATGAAAACAGGTCACAGATACTGATTTATGCCATAGAAACATATGGCAAGAAGATGGGGAGGCATGTAGCAAAAAATAACAAATATGTAGGCAAAAAAAAGGCCCTGAAAACAGGCTGATGTAAAAGACAGTCTTTACAGTTAATACAGTCTTTTGAACAAAGACAAGCATTTTACCCTACTGCTATAAAATTTAGTAGAGTTAACATTAGATGTTAATTAACCAAGGTAATAATGAACAATTTTCAATCAATACATCAAAATCAATAGACCGACATCACTAGATGAAGGTAGTCTATGCTCTCTAGAAAGTTACTTTTCAGCCTCTTAACAAAAATGAGAACACACACACACCCACTCACCCACACACAGACACACCCACCCACACACACACACACGCGATACCGACCTGTTGCGTACACAGACGGCAAGAGTGCTGCTACGAGATTCCATTTCACCTCAGTAATCAGTTTTCTCAGCGTATTTCAGGTTGCTACTAGTTACCAGACACTCAACTTGTTTGTTGGTGGTGGGGCTTAAAGAAAAGGCACTAGCGTCACCCAGTGTATGAGCGTCTTTTTCCCTTGAGGAGCTCCGCTCTAGAAGCCTATGAGAAATGCATAGACTGGGGGAAAATAGCCCCGCCTTCCCGCAGGCTGCAGCGGGATGTACTTGGAAAAATTGTACCATAAAACCACATAGCGTTAATCTCACGTTAAAAAAATTATCGCCGTTAAAATGGCCTCGCGTTAACGCGTTAATAACGCGATAATTTTGACAGCACTAATATATATATATATATATATATATATATATACACATATACATATACATACACACACATACATACATATATACACACACACACACACATTTGTATTTGATATGGCTGAATTTAAGGGAACTCAAACAATGAGTGGTGATGTTGCAGCCCAGGTAGAGAGGGAAGTGGCTTCAGGTGAGAGTTGAATTTTGGTCAGTAATTGCATTCTGGATTCTGTGATCTGTTGGAGCTCACAATGACGCCATGTGTATTTTAGTATAGTTTGCTTGATTAACATGTTTGTTTATTTGGCTGTTATCTCCACTTTAGATGTATGTAAGAAATGTGTTTTATAATGTTATGATAAAATTAGGGCTGCAACAAATTATTTTGCAAATCGGTTTCTTAAAGAAGATTTTATACAACATTAAAACAGGTAAACAGAAACGTTCTCTAAGTGGGTCGCTCTGTCAGCTAAAGGCATGATTTAGAGTTTCTATACTTCAGTTAACGATTAATCAATTACTAACCTAGTTGATGACTATTTCAATAATTGATTAATCCGATTGTTTAAGCCCAAGATAAAATACATGAAATGAGCTACACAGAGTAACTACAGCACAGATGTACAACTTGTATATTTAGGTTAATATTTTAAAGGCTTAGTGTCAGTTCCTCATCTAGTTCCAGTGTACATGTACATATAATTTATTTACCCTCCCTTTAATGTATTATTTTGCTTTGTTTCATGATACAGAGAGAGCATATAAAAGATAAGAGTGGGTTTTACCTCTGTTTACCTCTGCACAGTTCTATATCTTCAAAAGAAAACAGGATAAATCCACATAACAGTAATATTTAGGCTATTTTTGGTTTAAATATGCATTTATCTACTGTTTTAGTCGCTGGTAAGTTCAAATGCAAACCTTTTCAAAGTGAAAAAAGTCTAATTCCACATTCATCATAGCCGATGATGCAAGAAATGCCGCTTTTCTCTTTAAACGAAATGCGCCCTGATGTTCACATTAAGCATAAAATAAAGAGAATGGATATTTTTGCAAAGAATCAATGAATCTTAAGACCAATATTGTCCCTACCAAAGTTGATATCAAACCTACGCCCTTGTATCATCCTCTACCTACTGTAATCTGTTCATATGACACCTGTCCAGCAGTCGGTCATTAACAGACACAGGCGGTCGGTTAAAGCAACACAATGCTGTGTCCAATCATGTCAATAAACATTTAGTGAAGAGTAAACCTTTCAAAAGCAGCAGCGTTAACCACAGCCTTCACAGTAGAGAAGCACTGCCTCAGAGCTGCCTGAGGTGCAGAGTGAAGGTTTAACACTCAGGGATTTTAGTAGCTGGATCATCAGCTGGTGTTAAACTACTCATTTTTATCAAGTCCAATTATCTAGAGAATTTTAAGAGAACCTCAAGCTTCCATCTGCCGAGAAGCTTTATTGAAAAGCGGATTTCATCTTCCAACAGGATGAGGCACCTGCCCACACGCCAAATGTCACAGGATAAGGTTTATTTAATGACCACGGCTTCACAATGCAGATAAATTTTAAGCTGCATTAATTCATACAAAGAGTTCAGACCAAATAGTGAGTGCAAATGCTAAACTGCACATCGACATACTTTTCTGGAGAATTAATGATTTTTTTATTTTATATTAATCTTATGCAACTTCCAAATGTTCCAAGGAAAATAACTTTTGAGTATCTATTAGATATGAGCAATAACCATAATTAACAGTTTGAAAAATGTCACCCTGTGTCTTAATGACTCCATATAAAACAAGAAATACTGACTTACACATTTTTGAGACAAAATTCTTTTTTTTACCCCCCACCCCTACTTGCCTTATCATAAAGATTCCCAGAATTCCTCTTGTCGTCCTCGTCGCTGCTGTCTTCAGCAGGAGGCTTTTCCCTCTTGGTGTCGTCTCCCATGTAATGCTCAAAAACGCTGGAGAAGGCCACGGCAGACAGCATGCACACCACCGGAGTCAGGGTCAGCATGAGCCGCACCATCACACCGGCAAAGTACACAGCGCTGATGGCATACAGAGCCACTGGAACGCAGAGAGGAAAGAGAGCGGCGGGTAAGAGATCGTTTGAGGCAGAACAAAAGGTCAGACAAGGATAAACACGCTGTGAATCTGGCTCTGTTAGAGCTGAAAGGAAATAAACCTGAAAAATACACAGAAAGACTGAGCAGTAAATGTAAGGCAGTCTAATACGTCTTTCCAGAAGCATAAAGAACGGATGCTGATCGTTGTCCTTGAAAAGTGGCCATCCTGATCAACAAGTGCACGTATAATCAATAATGATTATCGGTTAATGAAGTGTTGAACACAGGTGCACTGAAAAGACTGTTTCCTTAAACACACAACTTCATCTGCACTTAATCCCTAAGGCGTCTTTTTGCTGCACATTTCAGAAGTTTGGTAAAGACACCCAGGCAGCCTCTAGGTCATTCCACTTAAAAAGGGAAAGCCCTGAAAACCAAAGGAGACAAGGAAGCCTAACTAATGCAGCTGAGCTTTATAGCAGGAGGCTGATATAGAATAACACATGAAAAACATTCTACCAGCTTGTAAAGATACGAATAATATACCCCCGCTGCACCATGAGGGGGCTCAGGTCTATCCTGACACAAGGAAGATAAGACATTACTGTTTGGAGGACAAAGACGCTCAGCTCCAAGTTATCTACAACACGGGGCAACATATCGACTTATTGTTTTCTTGCAGCAGCTTGACAAGTTGAAAACAAGCTGGAAGCAGAGCTCTAGCATTATTAACTTATGAGTAAACATTCTGTATGCTGTTTCTGTGAATGTGGAGGGCTCCTTCACTGACTGAAAAGAAAGCGCATCCAAGGAGATACATGAACTGCATGTGCAATAAAAGAGTCAATTTTGTAGTCTTTATTAGCAAGCTTTCAAAATGACAGTTAGCTATGTGGACAGTTAAGGGCCCACCAACCATTCTAACTTCCAAACGTGAGAAATTTAAACAGATTTGTTGCAATAAAAAAAAGAATTAAAAAAAATTAACGGAGGAATGTAGTGTCTGCCAAAATCAAGCATAGTTAGATAAGCTAGGCGAGGGAAACAGTGGTAGCAGAATTAACACCCCCACCCACCAGGACGACTCGTGTTGCAGCTCAACTCTATATGTCAAATAAAGCTTTTATGATGCAAATACATTTAAAAAGCTTCGCACCAAACACGCGCTCATCATTGATGTTCTTGATGCAGAACCAAAGGCCTGCTGGGAAGGTGCAGACCAGGATGTGCAGATCAAAGAAGAAGGACACCCACGTGGTCGGCTGGTGCTCCGACACAGATGCAATGATGGGGATGTGGATCTTGGCATATCTATGGCGACAAGATGGGGGAAAAAAACAAAACACACAAAAAAAACAGACAGATTATGATTCATGTATTCTCCCATCAAAAAATGAAGAGAATAACACATTAGATCTTCCTCATCACACTTAGAAAAAAATTATATTTGTCCTGTTTCAGTGTTTCATCTTTAATGATCATATTAATATTGAAAAGAAAAAGATGACCTAGATAAAGCAAGTTAATCTATTTTGAGGAAAAAAGCAATTCTAACCAACCTGGAAAAATTAAACACTTTAGAAAAAGTTGTAATATGATGGCTAAAGTCAAACATGATGATAGTGCTCTGACGCTTTGTTGTTTCAGCATACACTTGAAGTGTAATTAATGAAACCATAAACTCTGCTTTCTACCTAATGGCCATCAGTTAACCTTGAGCCTGAGCTCATCTGGGTTACAGAACAGAATAATGAAAGACTCCGATCCAAGTAGGCTTAAACAGACCGTTCACGGTCAAAAACCCTCCAGTCTGGCTTCAATTTAAAAAATAATCTGTAAAAGCTAGTGGATTAAAATGCTCTACAGTGTTGTAATCAAATACTTCATCACAATATTGTTCATGTTAAAAACTTATTCAAGTGGTTTGTTTTTCCTGCTAGTAGAATTGAACATTCGTTTACTAGGTTTACTTCATGGAAGGACAGAGTTAAAACATGATATCAAATAAAATATCCCTGATTCTGCTTATATTAGCCAGTCAGAGTGTGAGGGATTGATTGGCTGCGCTATAAAATCCCACACAATGCAGAGCATCTGGAGAACACAGAGTGCCTCCTGCATTGTTTAACAGAGCCAGGATCGGCAGCCTCTTCCCTCCTGGGAAGCTGCAGGACGACTTTATTGCCGTCTCGGAAAACAAACGCACACATGCAGTCGGTTCCGTCGATAGAAGGAGTGTGAAGGTCAGCCGAGCTTACCCGGTGTCCCAAAGCGAGTAGAAGCGGCCACTCCATGGAGCAATGTATCCTGGAGGCAGAAAAGATGATCGATGAGAAAATGTTTGTGTTTTAATGCCTCTTATTTAACATTTGGCATGCAAGGATTGATTGCCGGTGTGCAGAAAGTTTGCAGAAGTATATTATAGCAAAGTTTAGGAAAAAGTTCCAAGAAATCCGGAAGAAAAAATTTTCTTAATGCAATAAAATGTGTCACTTTTATATTAAAAATATTTGTAAAGATAAAAGAACATGTTGGACATCAATGAAGATTTATAAAACTGGCCCATCTATTGATGAGGGATTAATAAGAGAAGCCTTTAGATTAAATACTACAGATGCAGTGAAAAAAAACCCATCAGAAAATGTATCGATGTCTGACATATATTTTATTAATGTTATTTAATTAGTGGAACTGACTTGTTTTTTTAATTCAAGTGAAACCGTTTAAGTTGCAAATTAGACCACACAGGGCATTTACAAATGTCTTCTCATAGTTGGGCTTTGATCTAGAATACATTTCAGTTGGTTTCCTGGGGGGTTCTTGGAGCTTCAATTCAAACGGTGCACACACACCCGACACTTTGGAAAATTCTTTAGTTGTCCTGTAGCTCTCTTTTGCAGGCGTTTGAAATAAGATGGAGAGACCTCAAAATAAAATGGCACAGGGATATAAAAAAAAAAAAAAACTAGGGAAGAGGAGACCAAAGTAATGCAGAAGGAATAAAATGGAGGTGATGTATGTGAAGGTACAGATTGATTCAATCAATATTTGGCTAAAGTTAAAGAAACTGAGGAAACTGTTTTCAACAGACTCTGAAATAAGAGTTTGACAGACAAGACTTAGTAGGTTGTGTCTCTGAAAAACTGGCACCCTGCACCCAACAGTCACCGAGGCTCACTGCTAAATTCGAATGGCAGACAGACGGCAATGTTTTACCAGACGAAGCCAACGTCCAAGTGACAGAACGTCTGCATTCATGCGAGTCACCAGCCCGTCCTGCTGGAAACGTAATGCTCAACCATCTGTCTGCACTTGGAAAAGTCCTGGACAAGCTGTATATATTATCCTGAGCAGCAGAACATTGAATTTCAAATGTTACAGCTAAAACTTTGCAAACAGCATCTACAAATACCTAAAGGAATGACAGCTTGTTTTTTTCTTTTACTTTAGTAGGGACAATGAAGAAAAACAGCACTTTGTAAGGAAAAAATATGAGGGGCATATTTTTTCTTTATAATTAGAAACAAATCAATAAGCAGCAATGAGGAATAGCAAACCTGCATAATTTTCACAGCAGGTTATGATTTCTAAGGATAATCATCGAATCGAAAACTCACAGCTGGCTGCACGTGCAAAATACTAAGCAAGGTCACTAAAAGGCACAACATAATTTAAAAGCTAATAAAAAATATTGCAAACCTCTGACGTCCATTTCTGTTTATACTTGTTTACCATTCTGCCTTCCAAGTTTAATTCTCAGACACACAGAATGCTGATTAGCAGCCCACTGGGAAGGCCTGCATGTCAGACCATGAGAGGAATGGAAGATTATGTGTGCATTTGGCTAAAATAAAGCAAAATGGAGATCTGAAATGGCTTAAATCCCAGGTCTGGATCACCATCAGAGGAAATAAAAACTGATCTCTGCCCAGGAAAACTGTCCACCAACCATATTCCCTCCACAATCAAATCATGTGAATTTGGAGGGAAAAACAGGACTAATATGTGGTCTTTCCTTCCTTTTAACAAGCTGTAATGCAAAATGTGTATCAGTTAGGACAAGCTATCAATCTGGAAAATCATCCTTAGAATTTTTTATAGAGCAAATAATAGAAAAGCATTATAACTGCTGCAAATTATGTTTCAACAAATATTCGTCTAATAATGGATTAAAAATAAGACGTACTGCAGAGTAAAGGCCAGGGTTCCTACATGTTTATCATGTAAAAGCCAATATTCTCCAAGGTTGTAGATTACAACCTTGGAGGTTACAGTTAATGATAATGACATTGGATATTAAAATAAAGCTAAAATAAAGCCTTTCCCTACTGTTTATCCAAAATATTTATTCTTCATTAAAGCAATTAAGCCATCAGGTTTAAATTATGAAATGTGTGTCAGCTTTCTAGAAAAGTGTCTAATCCCAGTTGATCATTTGCAAAGCTTTAAAGGGGAAAGCTGTTTTTTTTTTTTTTTTTTTTTTTTTTTTTTTTAAATATATACATAAAAAAATATAACCGTGGATGTCTGGGGGACAGTGATTCGCCTACATGTTATGAATGCTGGCGTACCATAAATAATAAATTCTGAACAGTTTAGTTTGTGCCTTCAAGTCGTTACCCATAGGAAGATGCTACTTGGATATAACCTAACGGAATATCTTCAGAATGACACAAAACTCATATGGGTGAGTAGAACATGATGTAATAACGTAAAATCAAGGGCCCAATGTAAGAAAAGTGTGACATAAAAAAGCAGGAAAGAAATCCGACATATCTCTAAAGACTGATGACTGAAAGAAAAGTAGTGATGAATGCATAAACATTTATTTCTTTTTATATATATATATATAAACATTTATTTCTAAGCTACCTTTATGTATCTTAATGCTACTGTAACTAATATAGGGATATCTTGTAAATAATGATGGCTGCGGGTCTTTAGAGTCTGACAGGTTGAAAACATCCAAAAGCTTTCTATAGATTAGAGCTGCTCATAATGTTATTTGTTTTATGAAGAAATATTTTGTAAAATCATCTCTAGAGCATCCAGGGGCTGCTAGAGCAGATAAGGCTTTTTTTTTTTAAATCAGCTTGTGGAGTTTCTTAAAGTCATTTGCTCTCTGATGCCGTTAAGGCAGCAGATAATGGCAGAGGAGATCACACTTATAGAAGATCTGCAGCATCTCTTCCCACCTTTAAGGATATTCTGCTCTGTTCCTTCTTGTAGATGGATTCGGCTGTTTTCGGTTTATACTATTGTTCAGGTGAAGACACAGTTATTGAATAATAAAGTAATAACACTGAATGAACAAACTGAAGTATAGAGGGATGGGCTGATGGATAAATGAAAATAGAATAAGGCAGATGGGATCCGTTTATTCATTGAGGATTTGTCCTAGAATTTTTATCACAATCTTCTTTTACATTTATATTTAAAGGTTTCAACTAAATGTATAATTAATTAATAAATATATGCACACTGAGCAAATGGGAACACCAGGAAGCTCCTTTGGTGTAATTGTTTGGGTAAGAACAAAAACAAAGAAATGACCAGGAACAGAATGCAGACCTGAAAATGGAAGGACACCATCATGAAAATCTATTTTGAATAAATTTGTGCCTTTTTTTAATGTTGCTAAGTTACTGTTAAAACCAAGAGCAGTACATTCAACAAAATGTCCCAGTTCTAATTTAGGGACCGCATAGTTAAACTTGTGCTAGAGACCAAAGGATAGCCGTCGTCTGCTTCCCCACCCACTGGATGGGGTGGAATATGGAATACAGCAGATCAGGTATGACCATAACATTCAGTGTTGCTACAGGCACAACAATGGTTCCTTGTTAAGGAAAAAAAACCTCTGAATTTTCTACAGTGGTGTTGGATTAAGGATGGTTTGTATTTACACCAGAAGCTAACCACAACTGTGTCCATTTGGAGGAGGACTGCAGTCAACTCAATGCAGTCTGAAGCAGAGTTCACACCTAAATATCTGGACTGAGAAAAGAACTATTTTAAATCTTAACAAATATGAATACATCCTTTAAAAGTTAAAGCATTGGAATAGCCATGCCTAAGAGGCTGAAGGAGCAAAACCCAGAGGTCAATGATTACCTAAAAAACCCAAAATGGTTCAATAAGCTGGGCTTTTTTCTTATTTTGGTTTTTAAAGATACTGAAAGCTGAAACCCATTTTACTCTGTTCACATCAAAAAATGTAAAAGTTTTAATATCTTAGTAAATCCAACTTAATCCAAGCATCAAATTACATTATTAAAAAGTAGAACTCAATTTGCAAACTTCTTCATAACTGGAAGGGAAAATAATAAATTATAAAAATTATTATTTTCAGAAAAAACGTTTTCTCTGATTTAACAAAAGGTTAAAAACATTTGACAAAAGATTTAGGACAGATAAAAGAGTGAATTAATTAGTCAGCTCCCTGGTTTAATCACGGATACAGACCTGTGTAGGTGAGATAGATGACTGTGAGGAAGACGACACAGGCAGCAAGAGAGATCCCCAGGAAGAAGAGCGTCTGAAACTCCTGTCTGGTGAGTCTGTCCTTCAGGTACTGCAGGAAGGCGTAGGCTTGGAGGAGTGCAAACACACCTGAGAAAAAGGCAGAGGAAGACATCAAGGACTGAGACAACATCCAACAGAACCTCCAGCTGGATGTTTGAGGAGGCTCTGATTGATTCGGCCTCCTGCTGGGTACAAAGTGGCTTTGTCATTTCAGCAGTGTTGTCTACAAAGCAGTCCATGAGATCCCCCTTGGCTATTCAGGCAGATGCTGAAGAGTAATACCTCAGGACAACATATTTGAAATGCATGAGTGGCATCTGTGTAAATAAGCCCATCTCTTTGCTTGTATTATCTTTATTCGCAGCACTTCAGTAACGCTGCTTTTTTTTCTTCCTTTACTCCAACTTTCTTTGGAGCATTTTCTCCAGCACCTCTTTGCCTGCCTGGACCATTCTGTCTAACAAATGAGAACCAAAGAGTGGCCTGCTTTCCCCAGTTTGCATCACCTACCCTCCTCTCTCAAACCTTGCATGAAATCCACCCCCCCTTTATGCCAGGCAGCAAAGCTTCTCACTCATTTCCACGGTTAGGTCCCTGCCTGTCTCCTGAAGGGCTGCCGTGCTGCTAACAGCCTTGTCAGTCTTTGCCGCTCTGCTTTGCCGCCTACGGGGCAAAATCTCACCGGACCCGATGGGTCCGTGGCTCAGTCACTCCTCACAGCTCTCCCTGAGCTCCATGAATGTCGCCACCAGATGTTCCAAGCAGCTGCTATCTTGATGATACTGAAACACATTTGCTCACTAAGAGAGAGGGAAGCCAAAACCAGGGGATACACTTTTTTTATTTACTGCCTCTCAAAGCTGTGAGTGATGAAAAAGGGACACTTCAACATGCACCTGCTCTAAAGTTCAGAAAATTCTCCCAAAAAAAAGGGAATTCACTCAGTTTTAAAAGGAGCCAAAAAGGCAAACATGAGTTGAAGAATGGAGCGCTTGCCAATGTATTCATCCCTGTTTCCCAGGCAGCAGATGGGTCCACTTGAGAGTTGAAACCCGGCAAGCTTTATTAAACTTTCCTCAAGCTAAACTGGAGAGCAGTGAACAGGCTGTAAGCATGCGAGGGTCATGGAAAGGTGCTTTCTTGTTACTTTTTTTGGAAATGGATCAGTGTTTTCATGCAGAGCTGTAACGATTATGATTATACACCGTATGTGGAGACTATTGCAGCTTTTCTTAAAACTTGCACCATTTTTTAGAATTTGTTTTGCATGCATGTGTTCACACCATTTATGTATTTGCAGGATGTTTGCACTTTGCATGTCTTTTTTCTGTCATTTCTTCTCTGCAGAAATTCCCTTGGCATTTGGATATTATGTTTCATTTTGTGTTTTTAGTACTTTTTAAATTTGCTGTGAATTTATGCATTTATAGAGCATCTGTAAAAATATGTATAAACTGATAGTCTTTGCACTGAAACAGTCTCACACCTCTTTGAACCCCTCTTTTACAACTTAAACCCTACTTTTCTTCCATTATAAATCTTCCAACATGTGTAGATCCTCTCTTAGACACTCCACAGGTTCTTAAGGATTAAGCTTTAGGCTCTAAGATGGTTATGTTCAATCCATTCATCGTTAATAATAATAATCTGCTCCCTCAGTATAAATAAACCAAAATTAAAGGCTGGGTTAATCTACATTTCTCAGTGTGGTATCATTCCTCTACAAAAAAAAGAACAAACATATAATTGATCAGGCTTTTAACCAATCATTTAACACTTTTATAATATATTCCCATAAAAAGAGGCCCTTCTAAGCAACCTTCAGACTCTGCTTTAAAAGGGGAGGGTTGTACCTGCAGCAGCCATGTGTTCGCTGGTCCTGATTGGCTGGAACCCGACAAAAGGGATCTGCATCGACAGTATGAGGCCCACGATGTAAAAAGTGCTGTAAGCTGATAAAAGACAAAAAGAAAACGGAAGGAGAAAAGGATAAACAGAGGGGACACCAGATTAGACGCTGAACAATGAAAAGAAATTACAGCATTAAAAAAAGCCATTACTGGGCTCCACTTCTTCTCCCTCTAAGGGGCAAAAATCAACCTCAATAGAGGTGTTTAAAGTCTATTGATTTCCACTGCCGTACCTCATAGGGAGTAAACACAAAATAGCTAATCTAACGTCATTTGCTGAGAAAATGGGAGTTGGCTCGGCACAGTGTGGCAGGGGGGCCTGGCGTGTGACAAAGCTGCCAGGAATGAAGCGACTCCCACCTTTTGTGGCTTCGAGGGGAACCGATTTGCAGACACACCGGCTTAATTAAGATTTCATGCTCTTCCTGAAGAGTTGGGCTCATTTTTGAAGTAGCTATGCCTTCCCCCAGCAATCACTTTTTATACACATCTGCTATTGATTCAAGTCAGAAAAAAGACAAATTGCTGGTGAATCTAACCTGGAAGGGTGTTTAATTAAAGCAAGAGATCTTTTTATGTGGGATCCTTATTTGAGACACCTGGTTATAAAAAGGAGCTGTGATGTGAGGAAGAGAAAAAGCAGAGAACTTAATGTCTATTTCTATCATAAAAATCTCCCTTCAAATTCATCTCTGTTGCTCATTTGCTATCAAATGGGGTACAAGCTTTCTGAATAATGCTCAGGCTGAAAACGGGGAAAGACAAATGGAAATGGGACATTTTCCACCTCATCAAACATTTCACTTCTGAAGAACTGTTTGGAGATAAAGTAACAGACAATACTGTGCTACAAATCTCTCAACAGTATGCTTTGTGAGTACAGCTAATAGTCTAAGCCTGGATGATGCTTGACATCCGCTCATTTATCTTGACCATGAAAGGGGCCCTGCTGTGACCTCGTGGCTACTGTACGCCGACAGCTTCCGTCTAGAGAGACTAGGGCGGTTAGTTAGCAAGCAGAGCTGCTGTGGGACACGGGGCCTCTTAGAAGTTTTCACAGCAGACACCCAGGGATTTCCTCTCATCACATAACCAAAAATTCTAATGTATTTTATTGGGATTTTATGTGACAAAACACAAAAAGGACAAGGTTTAAGGGTTAGCCTATTATTTAGCCACCGTGAACAAAACCATTTTTTACAGCAGCAGCAAGTCCTTCTGGGTATGTCTCTTTGAAAGCCAAAGACTAAAGATTTTATCATTCTTTTCTGGATGGATGGATGGATGGATGGATGGATGGATGGATGGATGGATGGATGGATGGATGGATGGATGGATGGATGGATGGATGGATGGATGGATGGATGGATGGATGGATGGATGGATGGATGGATTAGGGCTGGGTGATATAGAAAAAAAGCTTATCGATAAAAAAAATGCATATTGATCGATATCGATAATTATTGAAAAGATTTGAAACCATACTTTATGTGCAGCTCTGCCTGGACTTTTTATAATATTGCTAAATGATTTAATTTTAATAAAAAACACAAACACAGACTTCGAATTAAATCTTTATTTAACCAACTTTTTTAACCATAACAGAATTGTTTTAAAGAAAAATAACTTAAGAGACCTGAGTTATGTTATTAAATACTGACAAAGAATAAACTAAAGTGACCAGAAAAGTGACCAAAATAAATATAACAAATAAATAAATGCCCCCCACCGCCGCCGCCGCCCCCGCCGCCCCCGTTTCCTGCTTTAACCTGAGTTATTACTTTGAAGTTTCTGGCCCCTCAGCATTTTTATCTCAATTGTTAGAACTACGTGGGAAATTGCCCAGAACTGAAAATATATATATATTTTCCCGAAGATTCCTCGGAGGAGAGCCGCGCCGGGGCCTACACTGCTCGTACTCCTGCGGGTGTGAGCGGCTGAGATGATAAAAAAAAAAAAAAAAGTTGGTTGTGTTATCAGACTTCGTTTTCACTGGTTCCAGACACATTTTACAGATGACTGTGGTTTGTTTTTTGTCCGACTTGCCATGACCGAAATACTGCCAAACTGCCGAACTACAAAAACCCTTCTTTGGAACAATTTCCTCCGCCTCTCCTTGCTGCGACATCTTCATGTGCTCTGTGTTGAGGTTTGAGAGTGCGGCGCTTGGTGACGGCGTGCCTGGGTCCGCCATTGTGATTGGTTGGGAGGAAGCAGTGACTAGCATAAACCTACAAGGCTAGGCTACAATGAGAAGGAAGGAAAACTGCGTTTCTTTTTTATCGAACTTTTATCGACCCTCTTTTTTTCTATTGCGCCACACGTCTATCGATCGATATATATAGTTATTGAATTATCGCCCAGCCCTAGGATGGATGGCTCCCATCTAGATTTAGATCTAGACTTTGACTATTGCCATTTCAAGAGACGAAAATGCTTTGACCTATGGTACGCCATCATGTCTGTGGCTCCATGTTTATGGTTTGTTGTCTGATGGAACGTGATATTCAGCTGGGTTCATCTCTCCATGAGCTTTAGGGAAATTCTTTGGAACCGCTTAATGTTGGTTTTTTGTATGCAGATTCAGCAACCTGACTAGACCAGAAGGAGCACCCAGCCAATTAGAGGATGAAGAGAACCACCTGTTCCCTATAAAAGGCTCCTGAAGAAACTCCTATGGTGGGGCAGCTTGTGAAAGAGATTTTTTTTTTTTTTTTTTTTTAAGTTGACCCCATTTTGGTTTCTGTGTTGACTTTTAAAGACTATATGGGCAGCTTTGAAGCATCTTGTACTGCATTTTTAGTATGTTTGAGAGGTTCTGTTATCCCCATAATGTTTCTTTGACTTTGGATCAACTCGTCTTTGATTTGATTGTTTAATGGTGGATTTATGCCCCTCTAGTCTATTTTTAGCCAGTTGTTTAAAGTGTGTGTTTGGTAGGTGGAGCCTTTTTTCCCTTTGCAATAAACCCCTTTAAAGTTTAGTTTTTTTCCTCTGGATACATTTAATATTACAATTTCTGATGTCCTAGAGCCTGGGGTCTGACAGTGCTGCAGTAAAGAAACCTGCAGCATGATGCTGCCACCACCATTTTTGCATTCAGGAAAATTATTGAGTGTTGGTCCCCTCTGTCTAAGGCTACATTCACACTGTAGGCCTTAATGCTCAATTCCGATTTCTTTGTGAAATCCTATTCTTTTGCTTGGTTCTACACATTTCTAAATATATGCGATTTGTATGTAATCTCCTGTGTGAATGGGTGGCAATGGAAAAAATCAGATCTATGATGTTCAGAATGTCATGCAAAGATCGGATACAGTTCTCATATGGGCGAAAAAATTGGATTCGGCAACATATTCTCGCTCCCAACTCGTCACATATTGTGACTTCGTCGAAGCGGGTACCCCTTGCGTCAGTATTTGGTAAATGACAGGTCGAGGACAGTATCACTTGACCCGTGGAAAAAAAAAAAAGTTTAGCTTACAACATTACTTTGGTAGCTTTAGAAGTGTATGGTAGCATTTATACTAGTGTTTCTTTAAGGGTTTAAGGATTGAGTAAGGGATGGGTTAAGGCTGATTTATACTTTGAAACTGGGTCATCTGCGTAGGTGTCGCAGTGAACAAAAAGCAGTCCCTGCCCCCTCTGCTGCACCTCTCCCAAATTGTAGCTGACCGCAGACAGTGCCGCAGATAGGACGCTGGCTTGTTTTGTTTTTATGACCGAAATTGCGGAAAACAACTTGTGAAGTTTGACCAGCTGGAAGACAGAGGTGTGTGAGAACGCTGGGAACCTTTTTCCACCTGGATCCCCGCTCTTTTTCTCCTTCATGTCCCTCCGCTGTCGGACTAAACTCGCTCCCACTTCCTCACCGCTTCGGCCATATCTAAACCCACAGCGTATAGCGCAGACCACGCTTCAATATTGAGCATAAATCAAAAATGTCTGCGTCAAGCTCACTGTGACACACTGCTGCAGGAATATAACCAGCCCTTTAGTGGGATGTTTTTACTTCACAACTCTTGGAAACATTTTTGGAAGTTCCTGCTACAGCCCATCATGAACGCCACGCGTCAGTTAATCACGAGAGGGGTATCCCTGTCACGTCAGTATCTGACACGCACGGGACTTTACCAAGCGTCAATATGTGAGGAGTTAGGAGTGAGAATGAGTTGGATTTGGGTCACTTCAGGCTGCTGTGTGAACATAACCTAAGGCACCTCCTTCCACATGTTCATCTTTCCATTAAATGGCTTGCAGCAAAGACTACTTATAGCTTTTTTTCCAGAGCTTACCCTCTTCTAGCTCCTCTTCAAATGAAAAGGTAAAATTTGTTGAGTTCATGATTAGTCTTTATCCTTTTGGCAGAATTCCTCATTTAAAATAATGATCCTTGCAGCTCTTCCACAGCTGATTGGCTGCTTCTCAGATTATTAGTCAACTTCTCCAGGCTGTGGAGGCATTGAACTTCTGCAGTTCTTTATATCTTTTAGACTTTAATTTGTAAAGAAAGAAAAAAGGAAAAAACCTCCAGACAATGAATCCCTTCTGTTCCACTTAAATATGCACTTCTTTGCAGCGTTCCATCGCATAAAACCCCATAAAAGCCATGAAGGTTTCCTGGTTGTAAAGTGAAAAAAGTCTCTAGGGGTATAAATGATTTTGCAGGACACAGCAAGTGGAACTGGGATGCATTGAGAAATAAAAAAAAACTGGAATGTGCTGATATTCGCAAAAAAAAAATAAAATAAAAAAAAAAAATGGTAGGGGGACCAGGTAGTTGCTTCTACAGTACGGAGGCATGTGGGTGTGTGACCGGCTGCTGATGAAGCGCCTACGGCTATCAGTAATGAGTACAGACGTGATGGGCAATGGAGCCTGTAGCGGGGGTCAGATGCTGGGGGGCTACTTTGTTTGGAAAACGCCGGTGGAACTCCTGCTTACGGCACACATTTCTGTTTCACAGGGAAAGACTGAAGGCAACGTCTCCATTACATCCACCGTTTGCACGGGCAATTTAAATACGAGGTCAAACGGACAACGATACGTTTTATTTTAATTGCCAGTGCTTTGTGTGCATCTTACCGATGTAGACTCTTCTGCTGTAGCGTTGCATCAACAGGAGGACAAACACATGGAGCGGAATCAGGTTGATGATAAACACATAACCCCCCCATGCCGACACCTGGAAGAGACAGAATAAAAACATAAATGTCAGGAAAAAAACGTATGCATCACAGTTAATTAGTATCTTTAGTTTGTTTTTTTCTTTACAGTATAATCTAGGAATACGCTTTTATCAAGTTTACATAAATAAAGTTGTTAACAGGTCCAGCTTGATCATGAGTGGGTATTAAACAGTCTTAGAAACAAAGGTAGCTTACAGCCCACTGATTGCTCATTGTGCGCGAACCGAGGTTGTTGACATTCGGCGATCCGTCATTATTGCTTGACAATTAAATATAATATATGAGTGAAAAGAAAATTTGCTCTCAAAATGTGGCTATAGAGACGATCATTTGAGGCAAGGTTTGAGAAAACAGTGAGTTTGTAGTAATCCACTAATGGCAGGTTGTTTCTAATCAAAAAAAAGTTGAATATCAGATAAAAAAAACGTATCAAACTTCTGTCTCTTCAGACAAACCGGTGATCTTTTCCAGCTTGAACAGCCCTGACTTATGAATGGTGGATTAGTATTAAAGAAGACACTTTTTTCTTTACTTTAGGTAAATGGATAAAAAAAATATAGGAGAAAACTCAAGGATGAAAGGAGTCGTTTAAGAAGTAAACCGTTTTCTACAAAAAGTTGCTAAGGGTTCATTTAGGCTGTGAGGGAGACAGAAAGGCTTTAAACAAATAGCAGCATTGGCAAACATTCAGCCTTCCTGCAAAGTTTTCATCTTTTCAGCGTTCAATCTTTGTCTATTATGGGACATGAAAAATAAACATGAAATAAATGAAAGCGATTCCCTCTTGACAGTAGATCCTTCTGGCTCTGCACAGAGACAAAAAAATCTAAATTGTAGCTTTTAGTCTTAAAAATAGCCTATAAAGAAGAAAAACCATAAGACTGGAAATTTCTAAACATTAAATAAATCTAACCACCTCACCCTGATTTGCCCTATTCAAGTTGATCGTTTTTTACTAATGATTTCAAAGAAAAAGACGACTTTCCTTGCTCCAACAGGTCAAAGTCCCAATGAATCAACAATCATTCAGCAAATATTTAAAACTGCCCAAGTTCACCTTGATCAGCTCAGTCGTCTGCAGCTTAAACAATGAAAAACCCAGAGCTTCACTTTGTATTAATTGCACTGAAATTGAAAACCATAATTTTTTTTTTTTTTTTGCCTGTTAAAATCGGATGGTTTAGGAAGCAATTTTCACCTAAAAATACAGAATAAATCTTGAATATTTCCAAATTGATCAGGTCCACATGTACCACTATAATGGTAGGAAATACAAGAATAGTTTCCAATGTAAAAACTATCACAGCTGTTATTACATTATATTATTATGAATTATTCCTATTTAAACAAAGTAGAAAAAAACAATTCAATTCCCTTAAGCTAAAAGTGTTTATGAAAAATCCCCACTTGTTTTAGCATTAAAACCCTTCTTCCAAGGTTTTTGTTGGGTAAAAAAAACAACAATAAAAACAGGCTTAAGTTATAGGAAATAGAAATTTAGCAACAAACTAACATTAACATGATCAGTTACATTTCTCAAAGGCAGAAGATTAAAGCCTATCTTCCACAAAAAAGGCTAAAGAGTAGTCCGTCAGAGCTTAAGATGGGGCTTATTAAAATAAATATATACCGTATATATATATATATATATATATATATATATATATATATATATATATATATATATATATATATATATATATATATATATATATATATATATATATATAATTTCATTTAACAGCAATATGGTGGTATAAGTCAAGACTACATCAGGGGAGAAGGACAGAGAGAGGGCGAGGAATCTTAACTAGAGGATTGAGGGAAAAAAGCTAAACGCTACTTATAAAGTGCTGCCTTCACTGTCATAAAGGGTTTATTAAAAGATGTTATTTTAAAAAGCATTTTGGGATTAAAGCGAATATGAGCTACTGTACTAATCGTTTTGCTCACTTATTGCAGTTTTCTTTCAGGCTTCAGTTTGTTTTTCTTCTTTAAAAATATTACTTTTATATTAGCTATTATATTACCAAAAAGGAAGGTGGTAATGACAAAAACTGAACGAGGATAGAAGCCATGGACTGAAAAATATGAGGGCGAGATAACCACCTGGTTAAATGTGCATTGTATTTTTATTTTTTTTTAAATCAATAGTTTGAAAACATTTTAACAGGAAGAGTTTCAGGGATTTTGTAAAAAAAATTTTAAGGAGTTTGTACAGGTTTGGTGTTTTTCCTTTTTTCATTTTCCTAAGGCCTTTATACGGTTTATATCAACATTGTCAAAATGAAGAAATATATTTTTATATAAGTTTTGGCCGAATCCTGCAACCCTGACCAAGAGAATTCTTCCAAAAACCAAACCAACTCCCACAGCAGAGTGTAAAACTGTGTCCTTATCTGCCAACAACTATAAACTTAAAAAGAGACAGTTTTATCAATCTTATATATATCAATTTAGTATATAGGATCGATAGAGGATCAAAGCAATTGAGGTCTATAAAGTATTACAGCATTTAAGATGCCATTCAAAAAATTCTAAAAATATATTTTTTTGGTTAACAAATAATTCAGATCAAATATAAGATGTAAGCTGCTGGAAAGTCAAACTGGGAACAGCGATTGCATACATGCATATTGTTTGATGCTTATTTTCTACATCCACTGGTTACAGGCCTAATTGCAGCAGGAAAGGATGATAAAATAAACATGTTCACACATTTATAATCACAGGAAAAACAGGCAAGTTTTATTACAGATGATTCCCGTGCAATATTAAGGCAGAAAATTAAAAACTAATCTAAATAAGCTTCTTGCTGGTGCAATTATCTTTTGGCAGTCACTTGAATCTGTTGTCTCAAATAGCGACAACCAATTAGAAGCCTGTGAACCAGAACTTGAACGAACAACAAAGATGACTTCAATTTAACACTCATTTCCAGTGTTGACACAGGAGCAGCTCATCAAGTCTATCTGGAAACTGACTAAAACACTGCAGACACAGCAAGGGGCGAGCAGCGACATCTTGCAGTGTTAATTTTTTAATGAACTGTGGAGTCAGGCAAACTAAATCTGCACAGCAAGATTAAGTGGAAGTCGGGGAGAGCACATTGGAAAGGAATCTAAATTCCCTCGGTGCATCATGCCAAAAATGACTCCAATTTAAAATCCTGTTTCTACAACAGTCTGGGAAGCTCCCAAAAACTCCTATCGACTGTAGAAGACCATTAAGTAAGAGCAAGGCATTGAAATAAGGCATAGGGAAAAGGTACTGCTGCAGAGAAAAATGTGGGAAAAATTTGTCCTTGGACTTCAATTAAAAAAAACTGTGGGAAAGGAACCCTTATATATACATTTTTTATATATATCTCCTGCTCTAAGCGACAGTCGTAAGTAAAGTATTTGTCTCCTTGCAGATTTAGTTTTTGACCATCTGTCCCAAACAGCAAGTAAAAGGTAAATGCAAGTATAAAGAACAAAACAAAAAGAAAATCAGAATCACAACAATTATTTGTTTAAAATAAAATAATTAAACAACCATAAGTATACAACTAAAGTGTAACCAAGTATAAAAACAGGAATGAAAAAGGCAAAAACAGCAGGTAGACGCTCCTGATGGAAGGAGCTATAACAACACTGCTTTGTACATTTAGGACACAGCAGTCTCTCACTGGAGGAGCTCTCTAGCTCTGCAACATCCTGAAGCACCTCTCATAGAAGAGTTTAAGTATTAATATATTAGATTTAAAAGAGCAAAGTGCAGGTTCCAGAGTTCTTGCAGAATTTCCCCCCTCTGACGACAAGCTCATATGACACCGGTGTTGTGAAAGTACATGGGAGAAAAGAAAAAAGCATGGTAGTGTACCGCAGAGACGGCACATATCTTTTGTTGAGAGGCGTTATGTCGCTTGATGTTAGGGCTGGGTTAAAAAAAATCTATTTTGGATCGATTCCTTTACATTTTTGCAAAATCGATGTTTAGGGAATGAGATCGATTAGTTTTATAGTGACGCACGTGACGTTCACATTCAAATGCCGACCCAAGTAACACACACGCTCAGCAAGCTGTCCCAACTGAAGTCTGTCTGAAACCATATTGGATTTAAAACCGCTAAAGATAATGTGCTGGATATGTGACATTAAGGTGGCTTCCCACTACACTGATGGTGAGTGGCGCCTCGTATCTCGTGCTACAGACCCCCACGATGACTTCAAGCCAGACAGCTGCAAATATAGCCAATAGGTTGACTGAAGACATTAACAAATGGGGGCTGACCAGCAAGAACCCTGTGGTTGTTACAGACAACGCCACAAATATGGTTTGTACAGCGGAGATAATGCAGCTCATGCATGTCTGCTGTGTCATGTCTACCTGCTCGTGTGAGGCTTTACTTTTTCACTTCTCACAAACAAGTTTGCACTTTTGAGACAATTTTGTAAACATCTCAAGTTTAAACTGTCTGATTTACAAGTTTGCACTTTGTTTTTTTTTGTCCTGTCATATTAAACACAAACAGTTGAACCACTTTCATTATTGTAAAAACAGATCGAATCGAAATGAATTGATTTAGAACTGTATGAATTAAAATCGAATCGATTCAGGACTTTGTTATACATCAGGTCGGGCTGGGTATTTTGGCCAAAGTTATAAATCTAGCAGTTGTTTTGAACAGAGCAGCTTAAAAAGAGGAACAACTGCGCTATGGGTCCCTTTCTGTTCCCAGGGCAGATCTGAGGTCTCGCCATTTTACGTAAACTGCCCCAATATTTACTCATGAATTACTCTGCTGCACATCAGATTCCAGCAGTCTGGCCACCCTTGATAAAAGCGTAATTTCTCACTCTTGTGCTCAGTCTGTGATGGGGTTTGAAGTTCACTAATGACTGGCCTTTACTGATCCATCTTCAGAAATAGTCAACCGCATTCTCTCACCAATACGCCAATGAGGGCGGAGACTCAACTAAATAGCCAGGTGTAAAATAGCATGTAGAAAGTC